GAGGGGGAGGAGGAGCTCTTCGAGCTCTTCGGTCGGTGACTTCGTCACATCCCCGCCCCGCTTGGTCCGCCTACGGCGCGCCGCGGGCAGGAGGAGGAGGAGGAGGAGGAGGAGGAGGAGGAGGAGGAGGAGGAGGAGGAAAGGAGGAGGAGGAAGGGAGGAGGAGGAGGAGGAGGAGGAGGAGGAGGAGGAGGAGGAAAGGAGGAGGAGGAAGGGAGGAGGAGGAGGAGGAGGAGGAGGAAGAGGACAAGGAGAAGCTGGCCCCCAGCTGGGTGCTCCTCTGGGCTCCGCCCGCGCAGCGTGCCATTCCTGTCTTCTCCTGGCTCTTCCTCTCGGCCCCGGGAGGCCCCCGAGGGCCCCAAGAGTCGAGCAGTGGCGAGGCGTCCTGGCGTGCCTCTTAGGGTTTAGGGGGTTTAGGGTTTAGGGTGTACTAGGCGAGGCCACGAGTACACCTGGACCGCGAACCCACCTGCGGTGGACGTCACTCCCACCCGCAAGCCACCCCACCATAAAGATCATCTCTCCCCTCGTTATAGCCACATCGAATACAGCGTCGTCGACGACGACGACGACGACGACGGCGACGACTGATGTGCGATCCAGTTGGCACGCGGGTGCTCTAACGGGCGGGAAGAGTCGGGTCGGGCGGAAGAGATTCTGCACGCATGCGCAGCAAAGATTATTTTTTGGAATAGGCGGATCGGCTCGCAACGGAAGGCACTTTGTATTGTAAAGTACAAGAGATTCTGCACGCATGCTCAGCAAATGCTGCTTTTTTTGCCCTAGATGGAGCGGGGTCGCAACGTGGGTCGGGCACTTTGTCTTGTAAAATACAAGAGTTTCTGCACGCATGTGCAGCACATGCTTTTTTGCAACAGATGGAGCCGGGTCGCAACGGACACCGGGCACTTTGTAGTGTAAAGTACAAGAGATTCTGCACGCATGCCTGTTTTTTACAGTCGATGGAGCCGGTTTACATAACCGGTCGGAACGGGGACCGGGCACTTTGTAGTGTAAAATACAAGAGATTCTGCACGCATGCTCAGGAAATGCTATTTTTTGCAGTAGATGAGGCCGGGTTGCATGGTGGCCGGTTTTATGGTAATTAGGTTTAATAATTATAGGATTAGAAATTTAGGGTCCACTAGCCCAAACTCGCAGCCTGTTGGACGTGTCCCACCCACCCATGACCCAAGACAAATCTCAAAACGACGACGATGTTGTCTCCACACCGTGTCGCTGGCGCTGGGCCGAGACCTCCACAGCGTCACGGCGGAATCGTACCGATGCGTTGAGACCCGGCTTGCGCCGCTTGCTCACCACCGCCGCCCACCGCGGCGCCCCCAGAAAAGCGTCGACGAGGCGCAGCTGCGCCATCCTCCGGGAGCTTCTCGGCGAGAGGCTCCCGAGGGAGGGGGGCTTCTGGGCGGCCGTGGTCGTCCTGCCGCGCTGGCTCCGCGGCGCTTGAGCGCGCCGCGGAGTGTCAGCGCGACGGGGCGGCCATAGCCGCTCGGAAACCCAGGGGGCCATGTCCAACCTCCACGGGGCGGCCCCTGGGGAAGGGCACGGGGGCGGCGCTCAACCCGAAAGGGTCGAGGTCGCTCCCGTACCTTTCACAAAGGACAGTAACGACGCCATGTCTGGTATTCCGATGCCAGCATCTCCTCCCAGAACGCCATTCCTGGCACCCCGAGGCCAAGAATCGCGCCGAAATGGGGGGCGGCCGAAGGGCGGCCGTGAGAGCTTCAGGATTTGAATATCTATAGGCTTCTATAGTTCTTAGGGTTTAGGGTGTCCTGCTGCCTCCTCGCACCCCCCTTTGTTGAGCAACGTCGGGGGGGGGGGTGCTCGGCTGCTTCACGGCCGAGCCCACCACTACCCAACCCAACCTTTTTTTTAGGGTTCAAACAATGCTCTAAGGACCTTTTGTGGCTTCCGCGAGATGTTATCAGAACATTTGTTTGCTGAGACGGTCTTATTTTAACACATCGGGTTACTGTTCTAAGGACATCGCTTTTGTTATGATAACGATTTGGGGTTCTAAGAACATCTCGTGGTAGGACTATAGGAACGCCGGGACGGTCGGCCCCTGCTCAAAAAAGAGCCCGAAGTCGTTACATTTTTTTTTTTTTTTTTTTTTAAGCGACGGACAGCGTCCTCGGCGCTCAGCAGGCCCCTGGAGGCCCCCAAGAGGCCCCCAGGGGGCCCCCGGAGCCTTCCAAGAGGCCCTCTTCCAGAGGGCCCCCATGCGGCCCCCAGGAGGTGCCCAGGATGCTTCGCTGGGCGGGGTGGGCGGGAGTTCCTCCAGCGTGGACTTCCCTTAGCAAGCCGAGCGGGCCCCTCCAGTCGGCGCCCAGCCGTGGGACCGCGTGCCCGCGCCTCCAAGACGCCCCCCAAGGCGGCCCAACAACGCCGAGACAAGCGGAGACGAGACAAAGGCCTGCACAAGGCACCCGAGAGGGCCCCCGGGAGGCCAGAGTCACCCAGACGCCGAATGACA